TTTATTATGCTAAATTAGCTTTTTGAGACTAGCATCAATTTTTTGAACTTAAAATGTAGAATAAACATTTTTATTTCTATGACCTCTTTATATGTATATATGTTACAGTCAAAACCCGTTTTTAGTTAGAACGCGTTTTAACTAGTTGAAACTAGTTTATACTAAATGTCTTTGTTAAAACCCGTTTTGTCTAGTTGAAACTAGTTTATACTAAATGTCTTTGTTAAAACCCATTTTGTCTAGTTGAAACTAGTTTATACTGAATGTCTTTGTTACAACCCGTTTTGTCTAGCTAAAACTAGTTTATACTAAATGTCTTTGTTAAAACTCGTTTTGTCTAGTTAAAACTAGTTTTAACTCAAATTCATTTTTGACTAGCAGTAAATTCTAGTTTTAACTAGACAAAACGGGTTTTGACAAAGACATCCAGTATAAACTAGTTTTAACTAGTTAAAACGCATCCTAACTAAAAACTGGTTTGACTGCAACGCATAGAGTGATTCGGGGTAAGATGGTAAGCGGGGGAAGATGCCTAATTTTTGATATTTTCAAACGGTGACGTCACATATTGTCATGTATTTGTATGATGAATCGTTGGGCCAATATTGAGTGCGGAAAGCTGTAGTTGGCTACCGTTACTTCATTTTCTACATCCGAGAAGAATAAAAGCTAGATAAGAACGAAGTTTTTGTTGTGAAATGTTTCTAGAATAATTTTAAACTAAAAGTTAAAATGGAATTTATTAAAAATTGCTAAAAACAATTAATGTGTGATGTAGTTAAGGTTCTAAAGTTTCCATTGTCAGCTACCGCCGATCCCGATCGGACATGCTGGAGCACGTGACTCTACTAGGCATCTTACCCCAACAAATGGAAAATATGCCACATTTTTCTTGGGGTAACGTGCCTATTTTTTGTTAATTGATTTCCAATATGCCTATTTTTAATAAACTTTTGTTTTCTCGTTTTATTGCAGGATATGCATAGAAATTATATAAGGACTTCTCAAAAAAGTTTTTGGACTGAAAAAAGCTTTCAGCTAGCTATAGAACACGTTAGAACGGGCGGAAACTTAACAATACTTATACTGTGCTGTTATACTTACTATGAAGTACTTTGTACTACATATGCAATAAATTAAATTTGGTTAAGAAATTCAAAAATTAATTTTAAGCAATTATATTTGTTATCTTACCCTAATGGCATTTGGCATCTCACCCAGATACTTGGGGTGAGATGCTTAAAATGCCAGACAGTGAAAAAGTCGTCATTGCAAACACAGTATAGAATTTTTTAAAATAAACTCCAAACTTTTATTTGAAAGACATACTCCAGAATATGATATTTTCATTAGAGGGCTCCTAAACTCAAATTAGCGCTGTAATTTTCTTCATAAGCAAAATGTTAGGCATCTTCCGCCGAATCACTATACATAACTTTATTTCCCCCAAACATATTTATGTAGCTAAAATTAGTTTTAACTAATGTTAAAAGTTAAAACTAGTTTTATCTAAAGTCAAAACATGTACAGCAGTAAATTAACTAGACAAAACCCGTTTTGTCTAGTTAAAACTAGAATTTACTGCTAGTCAAAAATGAACTTGAGTTAGAACTAGCTTTAACTAGACAAAACGGGTTTTAACAAAGACATTTAGTATAAACTAGTTTCAACTAGACAAAACGGGTTTTAACAAAGACATTCAGTATAAACTAGTTTTAACTAGTTAAAACGCGTTCTAACTAAAAACGGGTTTTGACTGTAACATATATATATATACAGTAATGTTTGTAATGGTCTTTGGATATGATAAACTCCTGCACAGATTGTTACAATTACATAATTCTACAAAGCACGTGATTTAGGATTCTGATGTTGCCCTTACTTCTGCTGTATTTTTTTTTAAAAAGTATTGTCTACAAAAAATTATAAGGTTTACTTCTCTTGTTCTCTGCTAGAGGCAGCATTATCAACTTCAATTACTCTACATCTTATCACAAGTAAAGTTTCTAAGAATATGTAAGATATACTTATAATGCCAGTCTGGGTTTTGCTTTTAGTAATTAATTCATAGCAAAAAAGTTTAACATGTTAAATAAAATTAAACATAAAAATATTCAGAGGATTTGCAAAATGATTTGATAACATTGTCACTTTCTAATTGAATGGTTTTTTGAAAGCATGTGTTTGTTCTTCAACATAAAATCATTCATTTATTTAAAAAATAAAATAACAACAATTATTGATAGTAAGTATTTTTAAATTAAATATTAATTCTGATACAGTTACAATGCCTGGGAAGTGATTGTTAACTATTGATGCTGAGCCAAAGCAAAACTTGCATAGAAGCAGAACCATAAAAACAGTTTATATTTGCAATGAATCCAGTTGCAAAATTTTTGCTTCAATAATTCCCAATCCTTGTTTTCAGTTACAATAATTTCCCATTAACTGTATACATTCAATATTTTGTTTTATATGCATGCAAATTATTTACATGTGTGAAATCAGGGACTCTGAGTTAAGGTTAACCCCTTTTCATATACAGTAATACCCCAAACTTACGCGATAGGTGGGACCGAGCAATAACCGCATAAGTCAGAGTATAATTTCGCAATTTGTGTAAAATCCAAATCGGATGTATGTAAGCTAATAAATGTTCTCATTAATCTTATCTCGTCTTTTGATTCGTTCACAATTACATGAAATCACCACACAGAGTCTCTCAAGTCTCCGTACATATAACAAACAGAAATAAATAACACAAAATAAATTGTAACTATGTGTCGATTCCGCGCGACATGTCCGAACATGTAAGCTGAACAATAGTGTGGGGGGAGTGAGTAATCAAGAGTTGCATGGCGCTCAAACAAAAGACAAATCAACAAGATTTGAAAATCGCGTAACTGCAGGTTCACGTAAGTCGAGGTATTACTGTACAGGATGGTAAAATTATAGGAGAAGACTTGTAAAAATCTCATCAGTCCTGACACCAGTTACAATAAACTAGTCGCATCCTAACTCATGATGAAATTATGCTATATTATTTGAAGATATAATAATAACTTGACCAGAATTTTAGGAGGGTTTATTAAATACAATTATTACGTGGTTCGTGGGCTGACGATGAAGTTAGGCTAAATCAACTAAGCAATGAATAAGCACAACTATTTTTGTAAGGAACCAAGTCCAAGCATTATTTTTATTTACTTTTATTTTGCTTTTTATTATATTTTTGTTTGGGGCTTATGTTTTGTTAGGACGAAGGTTTCCTCACCATTCACCTTAGAAACTTAAAAATAGAAGAGAAACCAACTCACCAACGAGAGAAAAGTGCCGTAGAAAAAACTCGCGCACACTTGCGCTCCCAAGTGGAAAAAAGTAAGTCTGCACCGAGAAAAGGGGGGACCCCATAAGCACAACTTAGGGACTTGCTAAACCTTAAAGAATAAAAACATCCCGAAAATTGTCAAAAAGAATAATGTAAAAGGTTAGCGAGTATTGTCGGAAAATAGGCTGCCAGACAAATAGAAAAAGTTTATTGTTAGCAAATAAGTATGTAAATGAGGGGAGTGATCGCATTCAGAATTGTGACGTCACCTCACAGTATAAAGTCCGAATCTCAAGTGAAGATGGACGAGGTGAGCTTCTGTTAGCAACGAGCTTGGTGAGCTTCGTAGCAGCAAACGAGAGAGAGGTGTCCGATAGGATAAAATAGTTCCAAGGCGATTTTGAAGTTATTCGATTTGTGGATCGAAGATTAGAGAAAGTCTTGAGAGTTGAGGAAAAGGGTTCCTAGTATATTGAGGTGACGATTAGGATCTTTAATTCATAAGAATTATTGTATATAAGTTAAGTCTTTGAATTTTGTCGAATTCCAAAGGGGAATAGATTTAAGTTAGAAACTAGATTGATTTGAGTTTTGTCGGGTTGATTCTTATTGAGTTTCATTGAATAAATTGTTACTTGATTTTTACTAAATTTTGTATATAGTTTATTATTAGAACTTTTATTAAATATTTGATTTGTTATTGACCAACTTGGTCATTATTTAATTCAGTGCACGCTTAAAGTCCAGGCCTGGCACACTAACGCGAATCCGCAAAAAGTACCCATTAGGGAACGGCTATTTCCGGCACACAGTCGTGTCGATAATCATTGGAAAAGTCGGAAAAATAATATAGTACTTTACATTCTTTTTTATAGGAGATTATAACTATTATATATACAAATAAATGATGACTATGATAAAACATAAAGGTTAGGTTCAACAATAAAGTGTGTGAGGATATTTAGTTCTAACTTGCTAATTCTATCCTGAGAGAGTGTATACATATTTGAGTTAAATATAATACCTCATTTTGGTTCCTTTTTCTTCTGAATCATTGGCGGGGCTGGCCATGATTTCATGTATTTGGCAGAAAACTTTTGGTTTGGACATAAACTTTCTTGAGAGTTCAGTTTTCCAGTTCCAGCATTGGGCATTTGTTTGGCCCTATTTATAGGATTTCATCTGTCCAGTAACTAGGGACAATTCAAGTCACCTGAAGAGAGAAACAAGGAACTTCCTTGTTGGATTGATATGAAAGTCCCCCTGTGACTCATAACTACAAAAAGAAAGATTTTGTTTGTTAAAAGTTTTAAATTTTATTATTTTAAACAAAAAGTATTGGCTTCAGATTCTCACATATGGGTGGGTACAACTAGAAGTTTTAATGAGTATTGTACTAATGATAAAATGTTGAATATTAGAACAATTTTTGGTGTTTAAAAAAAAATTAAACTCTAAGTTTGGTCTTTTGGAACTTTGAATAATTTGATGAATAGTAATATCTGATTTATGTCAAATATTTTAATTTAATATAAAGTCTGAAATGATGAATACTGAATTGTTTAAAATTTAAATGTAAGAGTATGATTATCTTAAAATTAATTGGATAAATTGAATTTATTAAACTAATAAATTCCTAAATTTAGGTATTGACTGTTTTTTATGTTTTTAGGATCAATGGAGATGATCATGATCTCCCTTGGGAATTCACTGTTGACAAATATCCTTCAATTCTGTTTTTTCCAGCAAGAAGGTATGAACTTAAATTTTTTATAACTTTAACAAAATTTTTTTGTTTATCTCAAATTTCCACTTACAATTTTAGAAAACCTCAAAGTGTTAAATTTCCACAAGCTTTGCCAATAACCCCAGTAAACCTTCTTCATTTTGTACTGATGAATGCTCAACCAGCAATTCGCTGGAAGATTTCATTACAATTATGTAATAAACGCTGTAAAATTTACAATTATGTGAAAACAACTTCAAAAATTCCACATCTATTTAGAGAATTGCATTTATTATTAAATCAGTTACATTTTGTTCAAGAAAATCTTTATAAAGTCAGAAAAATGAGGATATTTCCAATAGGAAAAAAATCCAAAAACTTATTTAAAGAAGACAAACATCAACTTCAAGAAGACATGCTGACAGAATATCATCAGTGGTTAATAGAGAATATAAAGAAGACAAAGAGGAAAATAAAATTGGCTCGAAAGTTACAAAATATATTAAGAGAAAAGGGAAGTCTTCAGATAGCGGAAAAGCTAGTGTTTCTTCAGAATGACACTTCAACACTCAACAAAGACAGATCTGAAAATATCAATAGTAAGCCACACAAAAACAGAAAAGAAAAAGATGAGTTATAATATAAATTTTTTACAGTGTAATGTTTGTCATAAATAATCTTACACTGTAGGAAATATAAATATTTGTAACTTATTGTATATATTTAACTACCCTTACAATTGTCTAAAAAATGGACTAAAATGTTTTGGGCGAATATTTATATGCAAAGTGCCTTAATGAGATAAATCCTAATACAATATGTGATATGATGATTAAAACTCAGTACAACTAGTCAGTGCGCTATGTTAATTTCACATCAATGATGTTTGCTTAAAGAATAATTTTCTATAGATTGTCTGAAGTATCTCATTGTAAACTTGTATTTTGTTGATATTTTCATATTTACAATGATTAGTTTCAGATGAAAGAAAAGTACTGTACTGTACATCCTCTTATTCAAGGTAATGGTTTCTCAGTATTTCTCAAATCCATGGACCATATTTTAAAAATATCATTTGAGTTGTTCTATGATATAATAATTACATAGGAAATGAGAAATACTGATATATATTTTTTTTAAACTATTCTTCTTTTTTAAATAATCATTGTTGCCAAAGGGTTTAAAATATTCTGAAAATAGGTAATATTAAAGTAGAATTAAATTGCAATTTGATAAGAATATTTTTAATAAAACTTAGGAAAGTAATATTTACTTTCCTTATTTCTGTAATTTGTACATGTGTACAGTTTAAATTTCTATGTACTTACGTACATCGGGTTGGAATGTTGTTGAATTTTTATGCAAGATTTGGCTGTTGAATATAATTGAAAATTGTGTATGAGTAAAACTTTGATTTTGGAGTTCTTAATTTATTACAAAAAATATTGTAGTTTATGTTCAGCTAGTATTTTGTCATAATTAGTGTTAAAGTTGTAGAATATAAATTCTGAAGAAAATTAGTGTTAAAAAATATATATAATGATTTTTTATAAGTTTAAACATTGGCCATGTGATTCCCTTTAAGTTGTTCTATTAAAGAAATATATTGAAATTGTGTGTCCTGGTTGTATTAAACTTATTAATTAATTAATCATACATTGCAAATATTTTGGTTCTTGTTTTATGAAGATTTATTTACTAAATTAGATTATGATAACAAATGTGTATAATAGAAAATTTTAATAACATTAACATTTACTTTATAAAAAAACATTTTTGTTAACACAATGTAAATTTTTCTTTTTTATTCTATATACTAGCAAATGAGCCCAGCGTTGCTCGGACAAAAAGTAATGACAGCAAAGATTAAGATTATTAGATTATAACCGATCTTACCCGTTTTCACGGAGTGCAATAATTAGGTCCTCCCTCTTCCGAGACTAAGTAGAAAATTTTTAGATATCTGCTTACCACACGGATAACGATAATTAAGATTCAGAACAACCACTAAGTAATGAATAACAAACGTTTTCGTAACCACTTGGCTGCTATTAACATATTTATATAGTACATAAAGAATACGGAAAATTTTAAACTCGTTTCTTGCCAATGTTTGGGAGTTGCATCGAGTAGCTTTACCGTGAATTACCGTAAGGGTAGAACTAAGCTATACAGTACTGTATATCAAACTTGACCAAATCGAAAGGGGGCCATCTTTTGTAGTGCCCTTGTTAATATTTTTACAAAAATTACTTTGATTTTAACATAATTCATTTGTTCTGTTTAAAGTTATATAAAATCAAAATCGGACAGCTGCATTAATGCATTAGTTTTCAAGATAGCAACTACAAGAGAATGAACGTCATTAAGTAGAGTTAAACATGTCTATCTCGAATCTCACGGGAACGAGAAAAAAATTCGTGATACAGATTCGTACACAGTAAACTACTGTAATTGGTATGATTGGCGGTACGGTGTTTTTTTAATACAATAGCAAGTACTGTACAGTATATATCTGTATTAGGTATAAATAAAACTTTTTTGGCATAGTTTAACATAGATAGTTTCTGATGCCTGACTTTTTTTAACCAATAAGACTCAAGCCGATCAGAGGAAAGCAGCGTTAATTGCAACTATGTACAGTACTTTACGGCAAGAGATATAGCTCACCAGTGGACAAGCGGTCTTCGTGCCTTGAACACTGGGAGTTCGGTTGTGGGTTCGCTCCGACGGAATGGCCACGTGGAGTTTTCCGGGCTCCACGTCTGTAACGCCCAAATAGGGGCCAGTTTCCCTTAAATAGACCCCTTAGGCAGATCGTCCAAGTGTTGCGTTGCACGGTCGGATGGCCGAGCGGGTAAGGTGGCAGCTCACCGCTCTGGGGGACCCGGGCTCGAATCCGAACGGGACGAAAAATCCCCAGGAATTTTTCGGGTGTTGGTCCGTTCGGATATGTCGGGCCCCGTCCTTCACCGCCCGGTAGCCCCATTATGGGCCTGGCCGAACCCATAATGGACTTGCAAAAAAAGAGGCCCTCTTAGTGCCCACAGGGCGGAAAGAGTTTAAAATATATATATATATATATATATTGCCATAACTTAAGTAACAAACAAGCAAGAGATACTTTACAACTACAATTTATGCTCGCTCAGGGACTAGACCAGGGGTGGCCAACAGTTTTTGCCCCCGAGCCGGATTGGAAAGAAAACTTTTTCCACGGCCGAACCAGAGGCTGCCCTAGGAAGATTTTGAGGTGATGCGAGATCTCATTGTGTGTCACCCCGTAGAAACAGAATTGTACATAGAGATTGCAGATACATTTTTCATATTATCATGCTTTATCGACACTCTACGCTGTACTTAAGAGATTTGTAATGGAGGGTTAACTCTAAACGCACAGTGAGTTGTTGACATTTTTTTTTAGGCGTCAGAATTTTTCATCAAGCTATTCGGACTTCAATACCTAATATTGAAAGATTGATCGCGGGCCACATAAATTCATTAGACGGGGCCCGCGGGCCGTATGTTGGCCATGCCTGGACTAGACGCTTGTGACGAAAATTCAAACATTAACCATTCGCAACATGTAATGCGTTCATTGGTTGGTGTACAAGCGATAGTTTACACCATAACCGCCAGCAGGGCCGGATCATCGCATAGGCAAATGTCTAGAGCCCGGTCAAACTGTCTATTTTGAAAAAATTTGTAAATAAGATCGTTTACTTTTCTGTTGGACAACTATATCAATTATAAACAAAAATATATTCTTTTTATATGGTTATTGTGAATTCTAAAGTCTAAAGAAAATGTGTTCCTATGTTTCTTCTTATTGAAAGTAATTCTTCNATGTATTATTTAGATTAATAAAGTTTAAAACAACAGCTTAACCAGGGATGGACCCAAGTTCCCTGGGTCCATCACTTATCTATTTACAAAGCTAAGAGGATCCAAGTTTAAAACAACAGCTTAACCAGGGATGGACCCAAGTTCCCTGGGTCCATCCCTGGTTAAGCTGTTGTTTTAAACTTGGATCCTCTTAGCTTTGTAAATAGATAAGTGAAGAAAAATCCAAAAAGTACAAAGAAAAAATTTGATTATGACAAACTCACTTATACACATTTATATACAAATATCTGACTCTTCATTCACAGTGGTGGTAGTTACATCCATAATCTACAAAGATGAATATAAAGCGGTGAATCCACCGGTTAGAATCTTTAGCAGAAAACAGAAACAGAAATCTCTAGCTCTTTCAAATTTTGTATAATTTTAGTTTTTTGTATTCTGCCTGAGGATTCACGTTCAGAAATCAAGTCTCACTCTAGTTGACTGAAAATAATTCAAATCCAACATGGATTCAATTGTTTTTCTTTATTTACATCAGACTTTACGTTTAATCGCATTTTTGGAAATGATTGAAAAATTAAACATCGTTTTTTGGCACCGTACATAGAATTCTCCGCCAGCGTGAAAGATTAGAATGCGATAAACGCTTACTTCACAAAACGCATTTGCATGATCGAAAATTTTATGTATTTTGAATGTATAAGAATGGATTCAGAGTTTTTCAACCGAATATTTGAAAATATTATAAAATATAACAAAAAATATTGTAAGAACACACTTTAATAAATTCTTATACATGTCACTATTTTGTTGTGTATTCATTGGTTGTTGTAAAATAGAAATGCTACGCGCGCTGAAAACAAACTTTTCTGAACTTTCTTATCAACCACGTTTCGGTCGACATAAACCGAAATATTTTGTTGTTTTCAGTTTCGGCGCTCTTTTTACATGAAAAATTTATTGTCATATTTAAGCTTAATTTTTAGTTTATAAGTAGTAGAAATGACAGAGTCCGTTTTTTATGAAACGAAGTATGTCATTGGCTTGCTTACTTAGCTGCATGCCACTTAGACAAGACATCTGCGTTTTCTTTCTCTTATTTTAATATTTAAATAATTTAGTCTGTAAAAAGCATTATCTTAAAGTTAATTTCTAATTTTTATGGAATTATGTAGGTATTATTGCATATAAATTTTTATTTAAATAACATCTGAGAGTAGTAAGCTAGTCTGAACATTTTAATGACAAAATTACAAGTAATATACAAGTAATAAGGTTATATTATAGTACAGTGATGATGATTTCAAGATCGAATGCGGTTGAACGTACTATTAAAAGTTTTTTGAATATATTAAATTATATTTTTAATATTAATCTGATTTAAAACATTTCATTTTGTTGGATAACGTTCACTTATTCATTGATCCTTCACAATGATAATATAGATTTTATTATACATATTATATTCACTTATTCCCTGAATATGAACATATACGAGATGTTTCTTCATTTCCTAACTTTACATAAATTATAATAAAGTTTATTAGTATATAATAATATAAATAAATCTGAACAAAATACAAAAATTGAATACTTGAGGTAGTTCAAAAGTCAGGCAGCTGCTATATACTTTTAAGATTATTTTAATTAAGGTTAAAACTCACTTGGATTCAGCATGATTATGCATGTTTCGTGATTAAATCTATTTTTTTTTATTGGAAGAGTTAACCACGAATAACATAATAACATGTATTTTAGCAGTTCTTAAACTGTTTACATAGATGTTGGTTAACAAACTTTTGGGCCACCCTCTATGCAGCTTACTTATTGGAGATAGATATTATTAGGCCTATATTACATAACAAATGTAACAAAACAGTAAAATATGAAATTATTTTAACTTATGTTCATCATAAATATTTTACAATGAATGCAAATTCCTGTTTTGTTTCCGTTTCATTTATAATAAAATTTTTAATTATTTCCATANCTCTATAAAATAAATAAATTTAGTTTATATGCATAAAAAAGTACCTAAATGAAGGAAATTATTATTTCTTGCAAACACTTTTGAAGGTTAACTTTACATAACATTTAAAGTTTGTGAGAATGGTTTTCTTTTCTCTTTATCTAATTTTAATTCATAAAAATGTTTAATATGAGCTGCTGTTTGCAATTTGTATAATGTAAAAGTGCATGTGAATATACAAAAATATATTCTTATTTTAACAAATATCTCCTAATTTCTTCTCTAATTTTGCATTTCAAAACTAGATAAATTTTAATTCTTGAAGTTAGACTATTTACAAAAATATATTAATATTTTCGA